GATGCTATTAATAGTGGTGGTGGTGGTTGAAGTGGTGTGGTAGTAATAGTGGTTGAGGTGGTGAATCTATTAGAGTGGTGGTTGAGGTAGTGATGGTAGTAGTAGTGGTTGAGGTGGTGGTGGTGGTTGAGGTGGTGGTGGTGGTTGAGGTGGTGATGGTAGTAGTAGTGGTTGAGGTGGTGATGCTATTAGTAGTGGTGGTGGTGGTTGAGGTAGTGATGGTAGTAGTAGTGGTTGAGGTGGTGGTGGTGGTTGAGGTGGTTGATGGTAGTAGTAGTGGTTGAGGTGGTGATGCTATTAGTAGAGGTGGGGGGGTTGAGGTGGTGATGGTAGTAAGTAGTGGTTGAGGTTGTGGGTGCAATTAGTAGTGGTGGTGGTGGTTGAGGTAGTGATGGTAGTAGTAGTGGTTGAGGTGGTGGTGGTGGTTGAGGTGGTGATGGTAGTAGTAGTGGTTGAGGTGGTGATGCTATTAGTAGTGGTGGTGGTGGTTGAGGTGGTGATGGTAGTAGTAGTGGTTGAGGTTGTGATTATTGTGCTGTGTTTACTATTATCATATAATCAAATAGAGACAGGATATATTTTCTACTGTATCCAGATTTTTGTCTCTTGTATCCTCTTCTACATCTTCGTTCCTTCTATGTCTTTTTCTCCCTTTACATCGTTCTCCTCTGTTTATTCCTCCCCCTCTTCCTCTTTTTTTTTCCTCCACACTTGCCACCCACATTCCTCCTGATGTTCGGAATTGGACTTTACATTGCAAATGTTGGATGCAAATTGTCCAGAGTGGGATGGTGGCCCCGACTGGCTATAGGGATCAGGCAAACGCTCAGGTACTTATCCTATCTGCCTTTATTTACCTCTTGGGGAGAAGAGGAAGTTGGGAGGGAGGGCTGGGAAGATTGGTAATAGGAGGGAAGGATAGGGAGAGTGATAAGACAGGGGGATAGTGAGAGTAATAAAAGGAGGGAGAGATAGCAAGAAGGATAAGGTGAAGGAGGTGTAGTGAGAGGGATAAAGAGGAGGGATAGTGAGAAGGTTAAGAGAAGAGAGGGATAGTGCGAGGAGTAAGGTAAGGGAGGGAGAGGGAGATATTAAACAAAATAAAAATCCCATACACATTCATAATGGTGATTATTTTGGACATGTACCGTAATTTGACAATATTGCCAATTACGTCGGTGTTTAGCATTCTGTTGGTGTATGTATATATGTGTGTGTGTGTGATATATATATTATAATATATATAAATATATATAATATATTTAATATTAATAATAATTGTGTGTGTGTGTGTGTGTGTGTGTGTGTGTGTGTGTATTTATTTAAAGACAAAATACATTGACAAAACATTCACAAAGATACAATAGAAAGTAAAACAACATAGGTAACTCAGAGCTACATCTCGAATACTTCGTCCAGCTCCCCGGCGGTGGGCCAAATGCCCAGAATGCTGCAGGCATTTCCTCTCTGGATCGCAACTATATATATATATATATATATATATATATATATATTATATATATAATATATATATATATATATATATATAATCTACAATAATAAACAAGATAGTCTGTAAATATGATGGCTGTTATTTAAGATCATATCACCATTGTACTGTGTTTTATTATGACTGTTGTATGTTCCTGTCAGTGAATGGGATTAACATTACAGCGCACAATAAATGTGATGAAAACATATCGAACTTTTAGAAGGAAAACTTGATGAGTAGCTTAGTTTACATGTTAGGATGCTATGTTTCCGTGGTTTAATTCTCGCCTCTTAATTCCATGCCTTGTAGCATTTGTAAGGTGTGTAGTAGTATATCTTAGAGCTGAGCTAGGGAAGGATAATTGTTTGCACGGTATGGGGGTTATGCAACCTGCATTTGAATTAGAGAAGTTCCTAATAATCATTGTAGTGGTTCAGTATGTAAATTAGCAAACACGAATCTAAGGAATGAGTATAACTATTTCAAAGCACTACAAGTAGAAAATTCCCTCAGAAGAAAAGGAATTAAAATTTATACACATCTCGCCAAGATTAACAAAATCTTTGGCTGGTACTGGAAGACTAAGTTTTGTCAGTGGTTTTCTCACGTAGACATACAAAGTCTTGTGTAGTGAGTACTTTTGCAATGCTTAGCTTTACGCCGTTTCGCTAATGCAGCAGTTTTCAGTTATACCCATTCATTTATTCAGACTTCTTGCATTAAATATATTCACTCCCAATAAGCTAAGGACGAAATTGTTTTAAATAATGTGTGTACTGTATATTCATTTTTTTAGGCCTAGCTGTATTGCTCAGTATATGATAGTGTAAAATATGTTATCAGGCTTTTATCTACAGTAATTTTCCGTTATACAGCAGTAGCCTAGAACCTAACCTGCTGTATAAGTGGGGCCCTCCTGTGTTTTGTTTTGAATGGGGCTAGGCCTGGGGACAGCTGGACCCAGAAGACGAGAAGGTACTTGTACCTCCTACCATGGCAGACATTGGTCTAAGACACTCCCGCGAAAGGGAGTGTCTCGGACCACCTCTTGGAAAAGGCCTGGGCTGAGCGATTATACCGGCGAATCTACTACCTGCCTAACCATGATATCACATACCCGGTTTATAAGATCTGAATATCCAAGGTGAGCCTAGCTGATTGTGCCAGCTATGAAAGATGCTTTTACCAGGACAGTATTTTGCTCTGTGTAAAGCTCTTAACAAGTCGGATACTGCTACTCTAATATTTTTGCCACCCCACTTGAAAGTAGGTACTTATTCATATTAACTTTTGAATGAACGTATATGTCGCTTGAAGAAATTCTGATGGCTTCACTACCCCAAGAAAAATACTTAGGTACCCGTCTTGGGGTCGCGAGCTCCGGGTTGGGAAATCCATACAATTTAGGGAATAGCAATCTCGTAATTTTATTATCAATTCATTCTTTAGTGTAAATGTAATTAACCTGAAAAATCATTGTCGAGAACAGTTCAACTACTGTGTGGTAGTTAGACTAATAGTGACCATAACGTGTGAATATAATGCTTACAAGCAGTGTGTTCACATGGGTGGGCAAAGTGGGAAGTAACCCGTTGTTCTATTTTTCAACGCTCTTGTAGTGCTTTTATGGCAAATTTGAGATTTGGCTCTGATTCCATTAAGTATACTGTATAAATCTAGAAGCACTAGGATCCTGTGGTGAAAGAAGTGTGTTGTGCCAGAGTAAAATGAAAGGCAGAGATCCAAGCTTTCACCTTTATTTTAAGCCCATTGAGGAGAATGAGTTGTGTCGCCCTTGCCATGATGTTTCTTTTTATTAAACAAATTCAGGAACGCTTGCTGTATGGGGCTACCCTGTTCTATATGATAGTTGCATTGTGGTATCTCGCGCAGTGTGGGGCCACCCTGTTTTGTACGATAGTTGCAGTAACGTTCCATCACCAGATGGTGGACACAGTTCCGCTAACTTCTAATTAGTGGAACTAATTTTTTGCTTAGCGGATTAGCGTTTCCGCTAGCTTCGGAAACCGTTAGCGGACCAATTAGCTTCCGCTAAATAAAGTTCCGCTAACTTTGAGTCCGCTGAAAGAAAATTCATATGTTGTTGGTAGTCGGAAATCAATGCCTTTTCAACGGCGCACGTGTTTGTTCCTGTCTGTTGTGGGAGTTTTTCCAACAATCAGTCAGGCACGCTATTGGCTGACTACGTGTAAACGTGACTTGTCAACGCCGCCGCCGCCGCAGCATCTGCAGCATCTGCATCAACTGCATCATTTTATGTAAAGTAAAAGGACACAAGTGCAACTAATGTGACATCTATTGTGGCAACGTTTCGCTCTCCAGGAGCGAAACGTTGCCACAATAGATGTCACATTAGTTGCACTTGTGTCCTTTTACTTTACATATTGTCGGTAATTCTACCAACTTTATTGCATCATTTTAGCAGTATTGTTATAGTCTTACAGTGTCGGCGATCACCGGGGTGCGTTGTCACTTATCTGTGTTGTCACTTGTCATTGTGAAGAGTGGAGACGTTTCTGTTCCCCCTGAGAGTGTTGAGGAGTCTGCAGCGGCTGTGGTTGAAGCATTAAGTACAACACCGCCATCCCATCCAGTGCAGCCGTTGAGCGCTTATTCTCTATAGGCAAAGATATCTTGCGGGCCAAGAGAGTCACCCTGTCAGATGGAAACTTTGAGAGGCTGATGCTCATGAAGGGCAACCAGCATCACATCTAAGCGATGGAGAAAGCCCAGCCGGACTAGTAATCAGCCCACTCATCATCTGATCTTGGCATGATACCCATGCCATGCATTTTTTACAGTAAATAGTGTATGTTGGATTTAAACTGATGTTTAATTTCATTTGTTCACTTAACTATTTGTATGCACCTGTATGACTGTATCGCTGGTGCAGCGATAAGTTGGTCTCAAGGTTTCAACTTTAAGAACGATTTTCAACTACTTGTTTGTAGTTTATTGGGGTCAAAATCTAAACTAAGTTAAATGCAAACATGAACAGAATCAGAATATAATGAACGAATACAAGAGTAACTGGAACTAATGAAGAAAACAGTCAAATAAGCTAACTCAATCTGTTCAGGTGCTGTGGGGCTTCAGCACAGCGACAAGTGTGTCCTTGTCGCTCGCGTTATATCACAAAATTAAACAATCGCTGTTTTCACACTAGCGGTACTTGATCATCATATGACAGGAACAAATTTTTTAGTTAGGGGATTAGCGGTTAGCAAAGCTAACTTTTCGGTTAGCTGTGCCCATCACTGTCCATTACTATACTCCATGTAGGATGGACACTATACTTGGGTTAAATATATCAGTCCGAACTGTAAGACGTTGAGGATATCAGATGTTCCAATGTAGGTTCAGATGTGGACACTAAAACACTCACATGGGATTGGGGGGACACTGGGGGAGGGGGTTGGTTGGAAAAAGTGTACTCAAACCAAAGCTATTGGTGCATTTTACGTGATTGTGTTGTGTTGTGTTGCAG